ACAAATGCGTATGGCCAATGTAGAAGAGGGATAATAGTTCTAACACGGGTCTAGATGATCTGTTTTCCACATGAGTTTCTTCTACCTTGTTTGTGTTGAGTTGTTTCTTTTTTGCTTCATGGCCCCTCATTACCAAGTTCTTAGTTTGATTCAGTGGTTTATAGTATGTTTTAGTAGCCAGTAATATTAATCCCACCTTGATATTATTTTCCCATAATTTTATTACTTATTTCAGACATTCATTTTTCCATAAATACTATAAGACCGTTTCATTCAATTTTTAAAAAAATCAAACAAAAATATCTCTTTTCTGGAATAAAATCAGAATTGCACAAAATTTATACATTAATTTTGGGGAAGAGATATTTAGAGATTAGATCTTCCTGTCCAAGAACCTGTTGTCATTGCATATTCATATTTTGTTTATATACTTCAATAGACATTTATAGTTTTTAAAATCTAGGTTTGTATACCTCTCATTAAAATTTATTTTCCAGCCTGACCAACATGGTGAGACTCTCATGTCTACAAAAAACTTAAAAATTAGCCGGGCATGGTGATGTACACCTGTGGTCCCAGCCACTCAGGGGGCTGAGGCAGGAGGATCACTTGAGCCCAGGAGGTTGAGACTGAAGTGAGCGAGCCATGTTCACACCACCACACTCCAAACCTGGGTGACAAAGTAAGACGCTGTATCAAAAATAAATAAGTAAATAAACAAATAAATACATATGTATAGGATAACATGAATGTAATATTTTCTCTAATTTTTGTTTTTACCTAGTGATTCCTTTTATAGATATATGTTGATTTTTTTTTTGAGATGGAGTCTCGCTCTTATTGCTTAGGCTGGAGTGCAATGGTGCGATCTCGGCTCACTGCAACCTCTGCCTCTTGAGTTCAAATGATTCTCCTGCCTCAGACCCCCAAGTAGCTGGGATTACAGGCACCCACCACCACACCCACCTAATTTTTTGTATTTTTAGTAGAGATGGGTTTTCACAATGTTGGCCAGGCTGGTCTTGAACTGTTGACCTCAGGTGATCCATCTATCTCAGCCTTCCAAAATGCTGGGATTATAGGCATGAGACACTGCGCCTGGTCGTTAATTTTTGTATATGCAGCTATTTAACAAATTGCATCTATTCTAGTAGTTATGAGGATCTTCTGGGTCTAATAAGTTGAAAAACCACAAACAATAGAAAGAACACAAAATCCATTGAAAAAACAAAAACAAAAACAAAAGCAGATAAGGCTCCTAGTAGATACGGATGCTTCTTTTCTGAGGATGGTAGTTTGAATAACAAGGTCCCAGACTGGTGATTCCCGGATTTTGCTGCACATTAGAATCACCTGGGAAGCTTTTTTTTTTTTTAGACAGAGTCTTGCTCTGTCACCCAGGCTGGAGTGCAGTGATGTGATCTCAGCTCACTGCAACCTCTGCCTCCTGGTTCAAGCGATTCTCCTGCCTCAATCTCCCAAGTAGCTGGGATTACAGGCACGGGCCACCATGCCCAGCTAATTTTTGTATTTTTAGTAGAGACGTGGTTTCACCATGTTGGCCAGGCTGGTCTTGAGCTCCTGACCTCAGGTGATTTGACTGCCTCAGCCTCCCACAGTTGTGGGATTACAGGCTGGGAAGCTTTAAAACTCCTGCAGCCTGGGGTAGGAGCCAGGCAACAAAAGTTTTTAAACATCCTCAGGTGATTCCAATTTGCAGCAAAGTTGTGAACCGTTCTAGCCCAGCATTAAGCAAATGCTGGTCCACAAGTCAAATCCTGCATTTTTGGAAACAAAGTTCTATTGGAACACAGCCATGCTCATTTGTTTACATATTGTCTTGCTTGCTTTCACACTTCAGCGGTAGAAATCAGTAGTTGTGAAAGAGACCGTATGGCTCACAAAGACTAAAATATTTAGTATCTAGCCTTTTTCTCAATAGAAAAAGATAAAATCACAATGAGGTGTAATCTCACTCCAGTTAGAATGGTTATTATCAAAAGGACAAAAAATAACAAATGCTAGCAAGGATGAGGAAAATGGGGAACTCTTACACTGTTGGTGGGAACGTAAATTAGTTCAGCCATTATGGAAAACAGTAAAATGATGCCTCAAAAAACTAAAAATAGAACTATGATGTGATCCAGTAACTCCACTAGTAGGTAAATATCCAAAGGAAAGGAAATCAGTACATCAAAGGGATACATGTACCCCATGTTTACTGTAGCACTAGTCACAATAGCCAAGGTATGGAATCAATCTGTGTCCATCAACAGACGAACGGATAAAGCAAATTTGGTATATATACACAATGGAATACTATTTAGCCATAAAAAGAATGACATTCTATCATCTGCAGCAACATGGATGAGATTGAAGAATATTAAGTTAAGTGAAATGAGCCAGGCACAGAAAGATAAATGCTGCATGTTCTCACTCATAAGTAGAAGCTAAAAAAAAGCATTGATCTCATGGAGGTAGAGAGTAGAATAGTGGTTACTAGAGGTGGGGATGGGTAAGGAGACAGAGGAATAACTAAAGATTGTTAACGAATACAAAAGTACAGCAGGATAGGAGGAATACATTCTAGTGTTCTATAGTACTATGGAGTGACTGTAATTAAAAATAATTTATTATATATTTTCAAATAGCTAGAAGAACAGATTTTGAATGTACACAAAGAAATGATCAATGTTTGAGGTACTTGGTATGCTAATTACCCTGATTTGATCATTACACCTTGTATATATGTATGGAGGTATACTGTAGTCCATAAATAGGTATAATTATTTATTTAGTTAATTTATTTATTTTGAGATGGAGTTTCGCTCTTGTGCCCAGGCTGGAGTGCAATGGTGCGATCTCGGCTCACAGCAACCTCGGCCTCCTGGGTTCAAGTGATTCTCCTGGTTCAGCCTCCCGAGTAGCTAGGACTACAGGCATGTGCCACCACACCGGCTAATTTTGTATTTTTAGTAGAGACAGGGTTTCTCCATGTCTCTACTAAGACATAGAGAGGTTTGGTCAGGCTGGTCTCAAACTCCTGACCTCAGGTGATCCGCCAGCCTCGGCCTCTCAAAGTGCTGGGATTACAGGCATGAGCCACTGCACCCAGCCAATAGGTACAATTAACATGTGTCGATTTTAAAAAGATAAAACAAAGGGGGATAGAGTCTATTTGTTAGCTCTTTTGTGCAAGATTTTGCTATAGTTTACTGTTTCTAGAAGGCTTTGCTTTATTAAGAAAACTACTCCCTTGGCTGGGCTCAGTGGCTCATGCCTGTAATCCCAGCACTTTGGGAGGCCAAGGCTGGCAGATTGCCTGAGGTCAGGGGTTCAAGACCAGCCTGGCTAACATGGTGAAACCTCATCTCTAATAAAAATACAAAGATTAGCTGGGTTTGGTGGCACATGCCTGTAGTCCCAGCTATTTGGGAGGCTGAGGCAGGAGAATCACTTGAACCCAGGAGTTGGAGGTTGCAGTGAGCTGAGATGGCACCACTGCACTCCAGCCTGGGTGACACAGCAAGACTCCGTCTCAAAAAAAAAAAAAAAAAAAAAAAGAAAAAAAAAAGGCTACTCCCTTTTACTCCCCACCCTGCTACAGCCCAAATGTGTTGTTTTTCTAAACTAATGTGATACTTGGAAAGCTGTAATTCCCAGCAAATTAATTCAACAAGTATTTACTAAGCTTCTACTATGTATTAGGCATTTGAGATACTTTATGGAGAAAAGGGACAAAATGCCATGACTGTTAGGAGTTTTTATTCTAGCAGGGTCAGGAAGGGTGAAAGACAGCTCAAACACATTAATTATGTAAAAGACACACTAAATTAAATGGTAATAATTTCTGTGGAGAAAAATAAAGCAGGAAAGTCCTTGTGAGATGGTGACATTTGAGCCATGTCACCAAAGAAATAACAGTGAGCCATGAAAAAATCTGAAGGAAGAACTGCACTCCAGGCAGAAAAACCTGACACGTGCAAAGAGGTCTTGGTGGTGCATGCCTGGTGTGTCTGTCTGGAAAGCAACAGGGACGCATGTGGCTGGAGCACAGTAAATCAGGCAGGAGTGTAGGAGGACAAGTGGTCTTAGAGAGAACATGCTACCAGATTATTTAGGGCCCATAGGCTATTGTAGTGACTCTGGCTTTTAAGAAAAAGATGGGAAACCAGTGGGGGCTTTGAGTATCCAGGGGTGTGATCTGTATTTTGACAGGCTCACTCCAGCTGCTGTTGAGAACAGACTGAAGAAAGCCAAGGACAGACTCATGGAGACCTCTTAAGAGTCAACTGCAAAATTCCAAGCACAGGTCATGGTAGATTAGAACAAGAAGTGAGTCGCGGAGGTAGTAAAAATGGAAGCCCAAAGGTTATTCTCATTCCAGCTTCTAATTAGTGTCAGTTCCTCTCAGATTCTGGCATATTTGTCTTGGTTTTGTAAGGTTTTCTTAATTTTTGATTTTCATGATTGTTAGATAACATTCTGAATTAGATATTGTCCTGAATATTCAATTGTACCTAATTATGATCCTATACTTAATATGCTTAAAACATGGCAGATGCTTGGTAAATTCTTACAATGAATGTGTATCTTAAAGGATTTGGGTAGAATGAAGCAGATTTATCGTCACAAGCCTGTTTTCAGGACCACATTTCTATTATTATTGCTTTTCTCTCTATTATTAGCATATACACCCATACTTTAGCTACTTGTGTTCATTAGGCTTAATTAGGAGATGGATGGTGGATTTGTATAGTTTAATTTTAACCTTAATACTCAGTCTTTCTTAGTAAGGGTTTCACTTCAGAATGTGTGTGTATGTGTGTGTGTGTGTGTGTATGCATGTGTATATACATATGTAATCAAAATCAGATATGTTCAAAAGTAAAATTATTTCCCAGAAATTCATAATTACAAAGGTAAGCTCATATAAATTCACTGAAGAATGATAAACAAATAAATAAGGAGATGAACTGACTCATGAAGAAAACTTCAAAGACAGTTTGAAAAAGTATTAAGTTGGGTATAATTATTTGCAGGTAAGATTTTTACATGGAAAATAATCTATCACTTGAAAAACTATTACTTACTATGAAGTGGTTCAGCACAAAATAAATATGTGGAAATGGAGTGCACATATAAACAACAAGATCTTCCCTTAGAGGATATAATGGAAGGAAGATTCACTTAAAATTACAGTAACTGATAAAACAACTGGAAATAAACCTACCTCTGGCTGCACATTAGAATCATGGCTGGAGGGACTGACCAGCAAGACAACAGTAATAGAACAGCAGGCCCAGGCTCTCTCAGAAGCTCTAACCAACTGGTATAGCGTAGGGCCTAGAGGGTATTTTTTAAAGTCCCTGCTTTTCAAATTTTTTTACAAAAAAATTGATCTATATGAAGAAAACTTAGACTACTACTGAGGGATATAAAAGAAGGCTTGAATAAAGGGAAAAACATACTAATTCTTTAGAATGACTATCATAAAGAATTAAATACTCTCTAAAGTAGGCTATACATTTAATGATTTCATTTAAAAGGCCAACAGAACTTTTCATTTTTGTTACTAGACAGACTTATTCTAAATTTGTATGGAAAAATCAAGAGTTGCTAGGAAGGACAATTCTGAAAAAAGAAAACTATTGCAAAGGGACTAGTCCTACCAGACTAAAAAAATAGACTGGTCTGGCTGGGTGTGGTGGCTCATACCTGTAATCCCAGCACTTCGCGAGGCTGAGGCAGTCCGGTTGCTTGAGTTCAGCAGTTTAAGACCAGTCGGGGCAACATAGTGAAACCCTGTCTCTATAAAAATTTTAAAAATTAGCTGGGTTTTGTGGTGTGTGCCTGTGGTCCCAGCTACTAAGGAGGCTGAGGTGGGAGGATCACCGGAGCCTATGAGATTGAGGCTGCAGTGAGCAGTGATTGTGCCACTGCATTCCAGCCTGAGTGACAGGGCAAGACCTTGTCTCAAAAAAAAACAAAAACAAAACAGAAACAAAAAACCAGAATGGTCCAGTGCAAAATAAACTGTTCAGAAATGGCGTTAAGTATAAATGGGACTTTGGTATAGATAAAAATGGCATTGCAAATCAATGGGGGAAAAGATAATGTATTCAACCAAAGGTATTATATGATGAAGCGCCATTTTTACCAATGGGAGAAGAGACAGTTTACTCAATAAAAGATCAATGGGTAGGCATATTAAAAAAAAAACAACTAAAGTTAGATTTCTAATATGTTTAATATGTTCCATCTGGGTCAAAGATCCAAAGGTGAAAAATAAAATTCTAAGAGAAGACAAGTGGAGGCTGGGCGCAGTGGCTCACACCTGTAATCCCAGCACTTGGGAGGTTGAGGTGGGCAGATCACCAGGTCAGGAGATCAAGACCATCCTGGCTAACACAGTGAAACCCCATCTCTACTAAAAAATACAAAAAATTAGCCGGATGTGGTGGTGGGGGCCTGTAATCCCAGGTACTAAGGAGGCTGAGGCAGGAGAGTCACTTGAAACCAGGATCGCGTGATTGCACTCCAGTCTGGGTGACAGAGCGAGACTCTGTCTCAAAAAAAAAAAAAAAAACCAAGTGGAGAAGGCCATCCTAAATATGATATAAAATCCTAAAAGCCACAAAAGCAAAGATTTGTAAATTTTGCATTAATATTTTTAATTGGCAAATCATAATTGTATATACTTATGGGGTACAGAGATTCATAAATTTGCTTACATGAAAATAAAAATTTCTACGTATCAAAAAATACCAGAACAAAGTCAGAAGACAATTGACAATGACAAACTGGAAGGAAAATATTTGCAGGATCTCTTACAAAAAGCTAATATCTAAAGCATGCCTGTAATACAAAACAAAGACCAACAACCAACAGAAAAATAGGCAAAGAATAGAAATAGGAAAGGCCATGGTAAAGCAGATTCCAATGGCTGTTAAATACATGAAAATATGATCTACCTTACTCATCATAAGAAAAATGAAAACAGAATATTTGGCAAAGGATAAGAAGACGTGCATTGATGGTGAGATTATCAGTTAGTATACCTTCTTTAGAGGTAATATGTAGTATCTAGTGTAATTTTGCTAAATACAGTCTTGACTCAGTAATTTCACCTCTAGATATCTACTGTTAAGTGAAAAAAAAAAAAGGAAAAAGCAGCAACACGCAGAACAATGTGTGCAGTATGTTACCGTTTGCGTAGGGGGAAAGGAATATATACATTTGGTTATAAATTTGTGGCCAATCTCTAAAAATGTGTAAGCAGGTGGTTTCGGTACTTGCTTCTTGGAGGGGGAACTGGATGGCAGGGAAGACAGAAAGGATAGAGACTTCATGATCACTGTTAACCCTTTTGTACCATTTGAAGTTTTTACCCTGTATATATATTACCTATTAAAAAAAAAAACAGTAGTAAAATCAGGTACATCCAGGGTTTACATCCCGTTAAATACTCCAGATACTCCCATGAAATACATTCAAACAGTCCCATCAAATACAAATAACTCATCAAGCACCATCAAATGCTCACACAAAACTGTTTTATGATAAATATTATTACTATTACAATATTTTATATTCTCTATTATTTAAAGGAATATAACTGTTACAGTATTTGCTTCAATCCTTTTGATACTTCCACTAAATTGTTAGAAGTTATACAAAGGTATACATAATAACCATTTTTGAAAATAGGTGATTTTATAATCATTGGCATTTTATCTTAAAATACACTACATTCTTACAAAGTAATGAAAAATTGGTAATTATTATTATTTTATTTTTATTTATTTGACATGGAGTCTCACTCTGTCGCCAGGCTGGAGTACAGTGGCGTGATCTCAGCTCACTGCAACCGCTGCCTCCCGGGTTCAAGTGATCCTCCTGCCTCAGCCTCCTGAGTAGCTGAGACTACAGGTGTGTGCCACCATGCCCAGCTAATTTTTGTATTTTTAGTAGAGACGGGGTTTCACCATGTTGGCCAAGATGGTCTTGATCTCTTGACCTTGTGATCTGCCTGCCTCTGCCTCCCAAAGTCCTAGGATTACAGGTGTGAGCCACTGCGCCTGGCCAAAACTTGGTAATTATTAAAACTGTTTCATTTAAAATACATAATTATGATCTTGTGATATATATGTATCTCTAGAACATTATTTTTAAACTTTTTGTTCAAACTGCTCTTGGATTCATACGCGTTTTAAGCCACTGATCGATTGCACTTTCATACTTCCTTGGTTCTTTCTGCCAGTCCTGATGCCACCTAAGATTTGCTATAATGTTTGAATAATTCTGTCCTATACTTTGTTTCCACTTGATAAACTGCTCTTTATTATACTGGTGGACAGAAGCAGAAACTTTAGGGTAGTTTATAATGGAACGAAGCTTCTGATCCAAAGAATAAGTAATTTCTGGAAATTTTACAGCAACATTTGTTAATTCATCTGGATCTGAGGAAAGATCTGAAAGAAAAAGATTAAATATCTGTCAAAATAGTGACCTGCCAAAAAAGTTTAGAATGTCATCATGACAGGTAATGTATTAGATTTCTAAAAAGATTTTCAGTTCCTGTTAGTGTAATAAAATGAAGGACAGTATAAATGGTAAAATAACATACCAGGAGTTAAACACCCTATGTTGCATGCCCAAATTCCCTCCTTCCTACCATTGTCCAGCTATCCCACTTCATTTTTCTTTTCTCAAATGCCAGAAAAAGTCAACCTTTTATCATCAGTAAGCTGGTTTAGAACAAGTTCTTCCTGTTTTTGATGTCCTGCCTACTTTGACGGGCAGAAATGAATATAGTAATGCTTATACTGTACCATTTCAATAGCCTCAAACTTTCTACAAATTCTTTATATAGACAAATCATGTTCCTGCAACTTTACTTACTCCTAGTTTTCTTTATATATTAGTATCTTATGCTTGGAGTTTTGAAAGTTACATTCATCAGTACGGTCCATTTGAACAAACAGCCATGGAAATACAAACTTCTCAATCACTGCCCACAAGAAAATAATGATAAATATTTCAGATCCATAAATACACTTTTTAGATATCCTAAAAAGGATTCCTACACAGATATCCTATCCCTGTGTAGGAAGACAGGGATATAACTAGGATACCAATCTAATTGGAAAAACAGCAAGTCAGAGATCTTATGACAATTAACTTCAGATAGTAAATGAACACTGTATGTTGAGGGAAAATCCCCTATGGCCTACTTAAGTACATTAGCCAAGAGGCCCCTGAAGAGATATGTGACTTTGCTAGGTAATTTCAGATGGCATATCTCTTTAGGAAAGGGGAATCAATAAGCCCTAAAAAGTACAGAAAAGCTGATTGCCCACTTCTGACATTTTGATAGTCACATCAGTTTTTTTGGTAGAATATGGTATAAAAAACAAAATTTCAACAAATTTAAAGATCAAATTGGCTTTTATTTAGTGATTCATGAATTGGGCAGCATCCCATCTGAAGACTTAGAAAAGGCATTCTGATGAGCTGAGCAGAGGAGGTGGGCTTTATAGGAAGAAAAAGGCTGACGAAAAAGTCCCAGAAACATGGAACAAAAAGCAGATTCGTCATTATAGTGTTACTTTATCCAGTAAAAACAGAGGAAACTTCCTTATGCTGGTTCAGGTAAAATGAGCCCCTTCAGGTTGGTTATTGTGATTCTCCTTTTTTTTTTTTTTTTTTTTTTTTGCTAAAGTGGCCCGCTCTAAAGTTCAGTTTGATTATGGGGCACCTAACTGTCAGTGACCCCATTCTGGTTTGACTTGGTTGGTTGAGCCTGGTGTAGGAACTCAGTTCAAAACAATGGCCTCCCATAAATTTCATTTGAGAATGGCCAATGAACAAGCAAGAGATGCACATTATTCATCAGGATGAAAATGTCAAGACTTCCTTTTTCAGCTAAGAATCCTCCACTCTTAAAGTGAAGGGGGTTGGCCAGTTTGGCTCCCAAAGTATTATTTTGATAATAATTTTGCTATTTGTAACTGGGAAGGAGCCTTAGGGAGAAATAAATATTAGTAATGGCTTTAGCACATATTTTATGTACCAAATGGGGCAAAGGATAAGTAAAACCCTAAATCTAAAATTGCTGTTTAAAAATTAATTCATAGAGTAGTGAAGCTGGCAGACATTTTTTAGAAGTCATAAGAAGTATCAATTTTGCAGTTACAGCTTTGTTGAAATCTCAGTTCTGCTGCTTCTTAGCTATGAGACCACACACAGGTATCCAAATTTCTGTGACTCCTAGTCTCCTCTGTAAAATGAGGATAATGGCACTATCTTGTGGGGTTGTGGTGAACATTAAATAATATATGCAAAATGTCAGCCTTCATAAGATAGTTGTTAATCCTTCAGAACAATGAGGTACAATGAGGTGTTGACTTCTAATTGGGAAAGATAACCATGAGTACTGAAAGATGCCCTGATCAGAGGAAACTGGTTTCAGTTATGAGACCCAGATCAAAAGCTTTAGGATGCTTTCTCTGAAATTCAGCTGCTGATCTGCAAAGAGGCTATTCCTCACATGGGCAACCCTTTGTAGATAGTCCTAGCATGACAAGCAGCAGATGATATTCATTTATTTAACAAGGATTATTGGATATCTTGAGCAATGCTACATAGGGCAGTTCATTACACATAATATTACACTTAAAAATCTATTAACACATTTACCAAAGAGTTGAGGCAATACTGAAGCACCATCCGAGTAGGCTATATACTTCCAGTGGTTAGTTCGAAGCATGTAGGTGGAGGCATTCACATTACATCCATGGAATTCACTTAGAATCCAGGGCGGATGCAGGTTTTTGACTTTATGTTCATTCTTAAATGTTTCTGATGATAACGGCAACAAAGAATATCCACTCAGGTTCTGAGGCAGAGGAATTCCAGCAATATCTATGTAACAAAAATAACCAAATATCTTAAAATAGCTCATCCTTTTATTAGCTGAACATTCACAAATGGCATCATCCACATTTTTTTCATACCATTAAATGCCATGGAGACTGGAGATTGTATATGGATTTTGTAAACAGACTGCCAAGATTCACATGCTTACCCCACTGGCCATGTGGACTTCAGCAAGGCATTTACTTATCTCAACCTCAGTTTTCTCGTCTGTAAGAAGGGGATGACCACAGTACTTGTATTTATTAGGTTCATTTTAGGTTTAAATAAGATACTTTATGTAAAATTCTAAGAACTCTGAGAACAATGCCTGGCAGATAGGAGCCTTCAACAAATAGTTAATATCACTAGTCCTTTTTCCTCTAAATGATTAAATAATCATAGTTGTTTCTCAAAGTTTCTTTCATGAGATATTAACAAGACTTACACAAGAAAGGGGTTTAGTAGTCATATATGTTTGCAAAACAATGGTTAAACAAAATTAAATACATAAATTTGTTGTAGATATAAATTTATTGCTGATGTATATGATAAACCTTCAGGAGTGGTTATATAGTATACCATGAGCCCCAAAGTTATTTGATAACAGAGCTTTTTAAACTTTGAAGTAGCATCTTGAGGGACTAGCATCTTGAAAAACATACTTTGAGGAACTGTGGATTATATTTATAAAGGGAAAAATTATTTTTAACTTACCAGATATAGACATATAGAACAATAGCATGAGAAATGCTCAACTGAAAAATAGCTTATACTTTAAAAAATTGCTTTCAAGGTAACTGGACCTTAAACTTCCCTCTTCCTATAGAAAAATTACCATTAATTATGTCTGCGTAGTCAGGGCTGTTTCAAAATGAGTCTGCAGTTGTCTTCCCCAGCCCTTTTCTGGTTTCAATGTTCATATTTTATGCATAAATATTTCCAATGAAAAACAGCATTATATCTATAATGTTAGAAATGAAACAAAGTTGAATAAGAAAATTAATTTAACTTGACTGTCTTTGACAAAAACAGATTAATTAAAGGATAATAGGGAAGTAGACAAAGACCACTATAAATCTTCTGAAGGTAGTTGTTTCATATATAACTTAATAAAAAAAAGTTTGTATATTCCATTTTCCTTGGAAGAAGACTATCACAAGTATTAATTTTCTGCCAACCAATCAAAATTAGTGACTTTTTTGTTGTTGTTCAGAGATAAGGAAAGAAAGAAGAGAGGAGTATTTCAGAGATGACTGGTTAAAAACAAAAAGAGGGGAAAAGAGGTTAAAGAGGATGTGCCCGGGAGAGAAGCGTTGCCTGGGTCAAACTAACTGTGCTCCAAGACACAGAGACTACCTACTGTAAGCAGTGGAAAGAAGGCGGTGTGGGAAGAGGCTGCGTAAGGGTGGTCTGTGTGTCAGCCACCAGGAGGCACCACCAGCAAGGCATGGGAAGAGAGAGAAGTAGTCTTTAAGGAAGTTTGGGAAGCAGGAACCAACGGGCACATACTCATGACTATGAGTTCTTGTATTCAGCACTTTAATAACTCTTAATACTTAGAAATGCCTTATTTTAGGACCATCCTTAATTTTCCTAAGGAAGCTTGGAAGACTAAGAAACTTACGTTTCTCCTGTGTTTATGAGAAGTCAGTAGTAAACTGGGTAAGAGTCCATTCAAGTGTTCATTTTTAAAATTCATTCAGCAAACCAGGTGCTGTTCTAGCTGTAGGGAAACGACACTGGACAACGCAGAAAAGCTCTCCCAGAGCTAACATTCTAACGTGGGCAGACAGAAACAGCTGTGTCAGATGGTGGTAAGTGCAATGAAGAAGAAGAAAGCAGGGTAAGGGAGACAGAGAGTGATGACAGGCATGTGGGTATGTGCTGTTTTACATAGGGTGGTCAGGGAAGGCCCCACTCAGAAGATCACATTTAGGCAGTGTCCCGAGGAGCGGTTAGAGTGAGCCCCACAGTTATCTGGCAAAAGGGCACTCCCCCCGGGGAATAGCAAGTATACGGTCCTCAAGGCAGGAAACTACTTGGTTTATTCCTCAAACACCAAGCAAGACTGTTAGGCTGGAGCAGAGTAAGTGAGGGATAAAATTATAAGAGATGAGTTGGGGAAGAGAAGAGATCATGTTGGACTCTCAGAGCGTAATTAAAGACACTGAATTTTTACTCTAGGTGAAATGGGAAATCAGTAGAGGGTTTTGAGCAGAGGTGTGACAATCTGACACTAACTATGGAATGGTGAATTGACTAAAAGTGAGTAAGGGCAGAAGGTCAGAGAGAGTTAGGAAGCTACTGCAGGAATCCAGGCAAGAGATAAGGGGAACTTAGGATTCCAGTCTATTATTGATAGAATAAAATAACTTTGTAAATTGAAAAAAAACCCATGTGAAATATCCATAATATTTAATAAATACTTCAAGTATTTATTGGTTTTTCTGTGCCTCAGAAAATTGGGTTTTCATTTTTCATATATTTATCAATAATTTCCTTAAAAACACTTTAGCTTAGACTGCTTTTCAAAAAGCTGTTTGATTTTTATTTAAAATCATTTTTCATATTTATTTTTCCTGGCAAACCTGTCATTCTAACTCCATTTTAAATAAGTTTCATCTTTCGTGGGAGTATAAGCACAGACTAGAAGTAACTGCAGGGTTCTTAAGAAAGTGACTTAAATGTAAAACAGTAAACAAATGGTAAAAATGCAGGCCTGGATATGTGTAATGATCTCCTGAAGAGAGATGATATTATATTTCTTCTTGACCATATCAGTACATAATGGATCTGAGTGGTATGGCAATGATGCAAACTAATATACACATTTTTTAGAGCATACCTAAAAAGAATGAAACATATTAATGATAACCATATCTAACATTTAATTGTTTACTATGTTCCAGGCATTGTTCTGAGCTATGAAATAGCCACTATTACCCCCATTTTTTTTTTTTTGAGACAGAGCATCACTCTGTTACCCAGGCTGGAGTGTAGTGGCGCGATCTTGGCTCACTGCACCCTCCGCCTCCCAGGTTCAAGTGATTCTCTTGCCTCAGCCTCCTGAGTAGCTGGGATTACAGGCACACGTCACCACACCCGGCTGATTTTTGTATTTTTAGTGGAAACAGGGTTTCACCATGTTGACCAGGCTGGTCTTGAACTCTTGACCTCAAGTGATCTGCCCACCTTGGCCTCCCAAAGTGCTGGGATTACAGCCGTAAGCCACCACGCTTGGCCTATCCCCATTTTTACTGATGAGAAAACTGAAGACCAGACATGTTGAGTAACCTGCCCAAGGTTACGCAGTTGGTAATGAGTGAAGAGGGGTTTGAACTTAGGCAGTCTGACCTTACAATATCTGTACTGTTTAATACTACACCATAAGACTTGCCTCACTGTAGTTAGCTAACTTCATAATATTCCTCAGCCAATAAAAACACAAGAATCTATGCAAAACACCTGCCAACCCCCAGGCTTCCACTAAGGTCCTGTAACAAGAAGGGTTTTGAAATTTAAATCACTAGCAATGAAACATTCTTTTAACTACAACTGCATTTTTATATAATCACATTCTCAAAATTAAAAAAATCTAGACTTATCTTTTAAGTGGAGAAAGGCAGGTGTTTTACAGAAAGACTATTACAGAAAACAATTCACATGAAAATAAGCTTAAAAATAAAAATCAAAACAATTTTAACTACAAAATGAGACACCTTTAGTTCTTACTGAGCTAAAGGATGCTGATACAAGGTATTAGAGAAGAAAATATTTTGGGAAGTAATTTTTAAATAATCTCAGAAATAATATCAACTTTAACGTTAATATTATAAAGAATTCCTATTCATAAATGTCATTTTTCTGCTGGTATTAGGAAATAATAATGTAATAGTATCCTATCACACTAGTGATAGAATTAGTTTATTTGATCCAAAAGTTTACAAATAAACTAAGGACATTCTTCCTAATTTATCATAAAATATTTTATTTAAAAAACCACTCTTTTAAAATACCTTTTAAAAAATGACTTGTAAATTCAAACTTTTAAATAAAGCATTGTTGCATCTTAAATTTCAATAGCCTCTTGATAGTAAGGTAGGTTTATTAAAACAGGAATTCCAATTGGTTTTTCCTATTCAGTATCTTTCTATTGAATGTAGAATAACCATCTTTTATACATTTCTAAGATGCATAGAATGGAAGTGAGGAGGAAATATCGCTTGAGGTTTTGGGTTGAGATTTTTTTTTTTTTTTTTTTTGATACCAGAAGTGTTTATTTCTGTTCAACAGACATTTCAGGATTTTAATTTCATTTTTAGTTTCCAGAAGACTCAAATATTTTAAAACTCAAATATACTATAAGCAAAGTTTATCCTTGAAAAATCAATTTCAAAACAAATTTTTCTCTTTATATCATTTTTCTTTATAAGCTTCTCCTCTGTGTGTGTGTAAATGGGATTCACACAAAATAATATAGCTACTGCTAAGCTAATAAGAAAGGACTTTGGGAGCTCTAAGAATAGATACTGGCTTATATCTATTTTAAGTTCCTAATTGGTTAGAACAAAATAAGAAGTCCTTTGTAGATGTTTTATCAAAACATGTATAAGTTTGTTTATTAAGCAGAAGTAGAACATAGTGTCTCACAGGTCTAATTTTAGAGTTAATCACTAATAAAGTAGCTTTAAACTCTTCCAGCACTGAGGAATTTTATCTTAAAAGGTAGAATGATCCATCAGATTAAACGCAGACCGTCAGAATGATCTTTGTTTTGCTGGCTCCTAAGGCTGTTAAATAAAGAACAGCCTCACTTTCTGCCTGTTAATGGTGTTTCAATTGTTAATAGTACTCTAAAAACTTGCTAATTTGGACAGTAAATTAGATGGACACAATATCTAAAAAGGAAACAAAACAAAACACAAACATCAATTTGTACAGTTTTAAAGCCTTCATTTTCTTTTTAATACATGGGGGCAATTTTCACATATTTCACTTTTTAAAATTAATTGACTTTTTCTTTTCAACGTTTTAGATTCAGTGGGTATGTGTGCAGGTTTGTTCCCTGGGTATATTACTTGATGCTGAGGTTTGGGATATGAATGATTGCATCACCCAGGTACTGGGCATAGTGCCCAACAGTTTTTCAACCTCTGGCCCTCTGGCCCCCTCCCTCCCTCCTTCTCCCTTCTAGTAGTCCCTAGTGTTTCTTGTTGGCATTTTTATGTCCGTGAGTAACCAATGTTTAGTTCTCACTTATAAGTGAGAACATCCGGTATTTGGTTTTCTGTTATTGTGTTAATTTTCTTAGGATAATGGCCTCCAGCTCCATTCATGTTGCTGCAAAGGCCATTATTTAATTTTTGATGGCTTTGTAGTATTCCACGGTGTATATGTGGCACATTTTCTTTATTTGGTCCACCAGTGATGGGCACCTGGGATGATTCCATGCCTTTACTATTGTGAATAGTGCTGCAAGTGCATGTCTTTTTGGTAGAATGATTTATGTATTTTTTGGTATATATCCAGTAATGGGATTGCTGGGTCTAATGGTAGCTGTTTTAAGTTTGTTGAGAAATCTCCAAACTGCTTCCCACAGTGGCTGAACTAATTTACACTCCCACCAACACTGTATAAGTGTTCCCCTTTCTCTGCAGCCTCACCAACATCTGTTGTTTTTTGACTTTTTAATAATTGTCATTTTGACTGTTGCGAGATGATATCTCATTGTGGTTTTGATTTGCATTAGAATTGCCTATTTTTTATCCAATCTATTACTACTAGATATTCATATTGTTTCTAATTCTTAATATAGTAATAAATATCCATGGAGATAAATACTTGTGTATATCTACAGGTTATTTCCTAAAATTAGGATTTCTAGGTCAAAACGTATGCACATTTCTCAGAAATTTGAAACATAATGCCACATTTGCCTACAAAACATTTGTATCGGTTTATATTCCCAGTAGCAGCACATGAGAAAGACTATTTCTAATATAAGATTTTCTAATTCTTCTTAACCTTTGCAAACTTTATATGTGAAAGAAGAATATTTTTCTCTTTTAATATTTTTATGACCACTGACTTTGATTCTTTAAAAATATATTGGCCATTTGTGTATATTTTCTGTTGTGAATTGCTTATTTTGATCCATCTGTTAATAAGGTATTCTTCTTCTTCTTACAGATTTATAAGAGCTCTATGAATATTACACCTTTATCATTTATAAAAAGATTAACTTAAGTAAATAATTGTGTTACAATGTTGTCTCCTGGCTCCAGCATAAGGCTCTTTTGCATTGTTCTCTTTCTACCCTTATCACTGGTTAACATCTGGTTAATAGAATGTTTCAGTGTTTTATATAAAGACCCGTCCATAGGTATTCTCCTCCACTCACTCTTCCCCAACTAAAAAAAATCATTTAAATGTAGCTTTCCTTCATCTGATAATAAAAATAATATTTATTGTGAAACACATTATAAACTGTGCTAAGCAATGAAGATGTTAATTTTTCAGTTTAGAATTGGAGAGATTTATTTTTGACTTTATTTCCTTTACTCTTATTGGGGAGGTCTAATCAACACATGATCTAAATGCTGTTAATAAAACATATTCTGCAGGGAACTGTGACTCAGAAGGAGTCTATTACCAAGAATCTTATGAAAAATAACAATCTATACAAAACTATAGTTTTAGAAAATTATTTTTTCTAAAATAATTGACAAATTGCAGGAAAAAACCTACAGTTGCAGGGAATTTACATCATTTACAGAAGAGTAGGGATGGAATTTAGAGGAGCTTCTGAGACAGTATTTTCTTAGCTAGAGAAATTCTTATTAGCAAGTAACATAAATTAGGCAGTGATAGGTGGATGTATGAGAATTTCCCCATTCTAACAAATTTTATTTAGCATTTTCTTATCTGACCTGTTAAATTATGAAATCTGCTAGTTTGCAGATGACCTTTAACTTTTACAATGTATAAAATGGCAAGAAGTAATAATGGCATCTTCTCAAGATTGTAGAGTACAAAATTTGCATTGTGGGCAAATATAAAATAATGTTTAAAGAAAAATGATTTAAACCATACATTTTAATTAACTGACATATATGATGACAGAATGTCTAAGAATTGAATAGGGCTCACTGTAGACAACTCCCTAAAGATGTTTAACTATTTAGCTGCTAGAGTCAAATAGATAAAATGGCAACTATCACTATGAAATATATTGAGGGAAAAGTGGAGAAAGAATCACCCCAGCTTTCCATAATCTTTTACAATACCTTCTTGCAGTTCTGGTCACTATACCTTAAGAAAACAGAATGAGGCTAAAAAGTCAAGCAAAGATGACCCTAGCAAGATTTTCTTTGGGAATGGGGAGGCTAGAGAGAGTTCTACAAGAAGAAAAATTAAGGAAGGAAACTGTAAAGAATATAGGCATATATTCATAAAACTCTAAAGATGCTAATAGCAGAGACCCAAATATACATAATTCTATATAAACTTCTTTAAAAAACACAGAAATGAGGAAAAGTAATAGTGATCGGCTAGAAACTAATGGAATGAGAAAGTGGCCAAGATATGGCTGAGTGTGATCATTACTTTGGGATAAAGGGAAACCAGCAAATGATGACTAAGAAACAGGAGAGATTAAAAATTCAAGGAACTGGCCGGGCGCAGTGGCTCACGCCTGTAATCCCAGCACTTTGGGAGGTTGAAGTGGGCAGATCATAAGGTCAGGAGTTTGAGACCAGCCTGGCCAACACGGTGAAACCTCGTCTCTACTAAAAATACAAAAATTAGCTGGGCATGGTGGCAGGTGCCTGTAATCCCAGCTACTCAGGAGGCTGAGTCAGGAGAATCGCTTGAAACTGTTAGGCGGAGGTTGCAGTGAGCTGAGATCGCGCCACTGCACTCCAGCCTGGGTGAAAGAGAGAAACTCCATCACACGCACACAAAATAAATAAATAAAAATAAAAAAGTTCAAGGAACTGGAAAGAAGTATGTTCAATTATATGAGAAGGATATGAAATAAGAGAAAAGGAAAGGACGCCGGTTTAAATTGACTCTAAATAAATTTAGTTAAGTGAAGAACTTTGCGGCAGAAGGAAGGAGATAAAAAGAACTCTGATTTCTTTGATTTTAAGATGCATCTTTCTTTCACATTTTAACATTTCTGAAATTAGAGAATATATCTTGTGCTATTTTCTTTCACCAAAATTTATGAATTGATGGTAGTTTTGCAACTGATGGTGCCTTAGAACAGAGAAACTGGTGTTTAAATGCTAGTGAATTTAAAGTACTCTGCTAAATTAGATAGAAACTAGAAGTTAGTTCTATGATTTCCTTTGAATTTGATTATGTCGTTATTCTAGTATCTTCAACAAAAACTGCTAACTACCGTTATCCATATGTTGCTTTTCTAGACATATGGCTATGCTTGTAGACATTAAGAAGCTAGTAAAGCAAATAGTACAGAACTATCTAAAGAGTCTGAGGAGGAATATGTTCATACTAGTTTCAAAGTGGATAGAATAATTCAGAAAGGAAATGCTTACATTTTAGGGAGGTGGTGGTAGAGAATCAAATGATGTACAAATCATATCTATAAGGTTATGAACCTGAATGTCTTACATGGCTTACTTTACAGTCATATCCTGAATACAAATCTTTTGAGGGAAAATCACTATAGTAAGTGAAGGACACAGGGACATGAAAAACAATCTCTTCATTCTTCAGAGTACAGATCTGACTCACAGTTAAATGAGTTGCTCAGGGTTATAAACAAGTCAGCAGGACCTCTGACTATTAACTGAAAGACTGACTAATTGACCTCTTCAGTTGCATTCTCCAGCATTATTACAAATAAATATTTACAGAACTGCATCACTTACCAAGCATGGTAGGGTAAATATCCACAAGAGAAACCACATTTGATACCTGAAGGTCGACTTTAATTCCTGGCCCCATCATCAAAAGCGGAACATGTGCACTGGCCTCATACATGCTCATTTTATAAAACTGTCGATGTTCCATGGCCAGCTCTCCATGATCTGAGAAGTATATGACAATAGTTTTCTGAAGAAGATCTAATTGATGAAGGGCCAAAATAATTTCACCTACAATAGAAATCATGATAAAACTATTAATTAGCTTTCAGTTCATGTTTTATTGTATCACATTAAGTTGATAACAACTTTACCCTATAAAGGTTTGTCACTATGCTTTTTAACATCTGAATATTACCTACTGTTCTCAAGTTAAGTCTCAAGTTGACAGTGGTCTGTCTACTGCTTGCTCTTCAGTTGACTAGTGAGGAAGAAGAAAATATAATACCCATGGGAACTCTTGCTCAAAGCTGCTTATCTGGAGATTATGCTGGCTTGCTTTCTAGGTTTCTATCAGAGAATAGGGGAAAAAAATCTTCCCCTTAGTGCCTTGAGTGAGAAAAGAAAGATCAGTCAGATATCAGTACTTCACATGTCTCAGATGATAAAAAAGATTGGTATCACCTCTGACCCACAGTTTCTGTGCAACAGGAAGTGATAAGAGCAGTCAGAACTCCTCTTTTCTGCTACTTTTTCTCCCAAATGATCATGCTCATAAAGGTGGCTGAGGATTATGGAAATCCCACCTTTGAAGAAGGGCTGGAAGCAGGACAGACAGTGTACAAGTTTGATTTAGCACCTTCTTGGATAGGGAATAATGGGACAGTAAAATTCCTCTGACCAGTTCCAGTCTCACTGTTCTCAAACTTTCTCCTACTGTAATTAAGAGAATCACAAGAAAGCACAGGCCAGAGAGAGGAGTCATCCCTGTTTTGGCAGTTCCTGAATCTGGGTAGAAGAGTCTATATTAATTTAAAAACCTACAGATTCTGAGGTATAGTCAGGATTGACACTCACTGCTCTATGGAGTTATTCGCAGAATTGAGACTCTCTTGATTTTTCAACTAGACGACTGGAATTACTTCCTAATCGGTCTTGCCTCTACTCCTCTTTCCTCTCCTTGTACTATCCTGGTGTCTATCTTTCTAAATTACCTAATCACTTGATCGTGTCACATCCCTGCTTCAAACTTTTTCACAGCTGCCCATTGTCGAATTCTTTAGCATAACAAGCAAGGCCCCTGTCCACTCTCCATACTCAGCGCCCTCGGCTACCTGCTAGACTTTTACCTTTCAGCAATCCTAACCTGCTCAGAACCCCATAAACACACACCATATTAGTTCACGCTTTCTTGCCTCTGCATATACTCTGCCATCTATGGTGAATGCTGTTTCTCCCACAGTCTACTTCACAAATTCCTATTATTCCTTTATGACCCAGCTCAAACATGCATTATCTCTCTGGCAAAGCATCATTCCTTGCTCTTCTAGGTAGAGGAAATCACTTTGTTCTTCAGGATGCCTACAACTTGCATATTACTGTAGTTACAACATATTGTAATTCTTAGCATTTATGCTCAATCAATAAATGTTCACTGAGTGCTTACTATATGCCAAACACTACGGATACGATGCTAAGCACCTAGGATGCAATGTTGAATAAGAATGATTAAAGACTTAAATGTAAAACTCAAAACTACAAAAAACCCTAGAAGAAAATCTAGGCAATACCAATCAGGACATAGGCACAGGCAAAGATTTCATGACAAATTCACCGAAAGCAATTGCAACAAAAGCAAAAATTGACAAATGGGGTCTAATTAAACAAAAGAGCTTCTGCATAGCAAAAGAAACTATCATTAGAATGAACAAGCAACCTATGAAATGGGAGAAAATTTTTGCAATGTATCCATCTGACAAAGGTTTAATATCCAGAATCTACAAGGAACTTAAACAAATGTACAAGAAAAAAACAACCAACCCCATTAAAAAGTGGGCAAAGGACATCAATGGACACTTCTCAAAAGACATTTATGAGGCCAACAAACATATTTAAAAAAAGCTCAACATCACTGATCATTAGAAAATGCAAACCAAAACCACCATGAGATACCATCTCATGCCAGTTAGAATGGCAATTATTAAAAAGTCTAGAAACAACAGATGTTAGAGAGTTTGTGGAGAAATAGGAATGCTTTTACACTGTTGGTGGGAATGTAAATTAGTTCAGTCATTATGGAAGACAGTGTGGCAATTCCCCAAAAATTTAGAACCAGAAACACCATTTGACCCAGCTATCCCATTACTGGGTATATACCCAAAGGAATATACGTCATTCTATTACAAAGATACATGCACACATGTGTTCACTGCAGCACTATTCACAATAGCAAAGACATGGAATCAACACAAATGCCCACCAACAATAGACTGGATAAAGAAAATGTGGTACATATACACCATGCAATACTATGCAGCCATAAAAAGAATGAGATCATGTCCTTTGCAGGGACATGGATGGAGCTAGAAGCCATTATCTTTAGCAAACTAACACAGGAACAGAAAACCAAACACTGCGTGTTCTTACTTATAAGTGGGAGCTGAACAATGAGAACACATGAACATAGGGAGGGGAACGATACACACTGGGGGCTGTCAGGGAAGGGAGAGTGTTAGGAAAAATAGCTAATGCATGCTGGGCTTAATACCTAGGTGATGGGTATTAGGTGCAGCAAACCACCTTTTACCTATGTAACACGTTTACCTATGTAACAAACCTGCATACCCTGCACATGTACCCTGGAACTTAAAATAAAAATAAAAGAATGTCCCTGCCCTCATGAAGCTTGTGTTCTTCAAGGGAGACAGATGGTAAACAGATGAAATAATTAGTATTACTACGCAAACAACATGACAAGGTATAAAGCAAGCAGAATGATGGAGCTGGCACACTGAGTTAGAGTGGTTGGGGGAGACATCCCTGAGGAGGTAACAACTGAGCTGAGAGCTAAAGACAGAATAAGCCAGCCATGTAGAAAGCAAAGGGAAGGGTGTTCCAGGCAGATGAAACAGAAAATATAAGACCCTGAGGTGGGAAAAGACCCTAGAATGTCTTTAATTTTGTTTGTTTGTGAGACGGAGTCTCGCTCTGTCACTAGGCTGGAGTGCAGTGGCGTGATCTTGGCTCACTGTAACCTCCGCCTCCTGGGTTCAAGCGATTCTCCTGCCTCAGCCTCCCAGGTAGCTGGGACTACAGGCATGCACTGCCACATCCAGCTAATTTTTGCATTTTTAGTAGAGATGGGGTTTCACCATGTTGGCCAGGATGGTCTTGATCCCTTGACCTTGTGATCCGCTTGCCTTAGCCTCCCAAAGTGCTGGGATTACAGGCGTGAGCCACAAATATCTTTAATTAATGAGTGATTTCTTAATAGTATTCAACATACTATACTCCCCCAGTGCCCAACATAGTGCCTGACAGCTAGTAGGTACTTAATGTTTGTTAACAAACACCATGAACAGTATTAAATACTATATGGTGACAAGACCGGTGTAGATTTAAAAATTAAGATACAGGCCAGGTACGGTGGCTCACGCCTGTAATCCCAGCACTTTGGGAGGCTGAGGCGGGCAGATTATGAGGTCAGGAGATTGAGACCAGACTGACCAACATGGTGAAACCCCATCTCTACTAGAAATACAAAAATTAGCTGGGCATGGCGGCGTGTGCCTATAATCCCAGCTACTCAGGAGGCTGAGGCAGGAGAATCGCTTGAACCCAGGAGGTACAGGTTGCAGTGAGCAGAGACCCTGCCACTGCACTCCAGCCTGGAGACAGAGCTAGACTCTGTCTCAAAAAAAAAAAAAAAAAAAAAAAAAAATTAAGGTACTATATTCCATAAACTTTGTAACTTGATGTAAGCAAGTTGCTACATATTTTTCTTCTCTGAAGAGATTTCAAGAGTAGTATTCCCACACTCCCTACAGCAACATTCTTTCATTTTAATGGATATGGATGAATGAATGGCTATAAATTTTCAAATGCAATTTCTAGTGTGCAAACGGGAGAACATTCTCTAACATCAGAGAATATCAATGAAATACAATTTGACAGATGTGCTCATGATTAAAAAAAATTACTTAAAATCTTATTTTCATTGAGTACTTGGAATACTTTTTTTTTTTTTTTTTTTTTGAGATGTAGTCTTGCTCTGTCATCCAGGCTGGAGTGCAGTGGCACGATCTTCGCTCACTGCAACCTCTGCCTCCCGGGTTCAAGCGATTCTCCTGCCTCAGCCTCCCAAGTAGCTGGGCTCACACATGCGTGCCACCACAGTCAGTTAATTTTTGTGTTTTAGTAGAGACAGGGTTTTGCCATGTTGGCCAGGCTGGTCTCGAACTCCTGACCTCAGGTGATCCACCGGCCTTGGCCTCCCAAAGTGCTGGGATTACAGGCATGAGCCACCGCACCTGGCCAATACATTTTAATACTTGCTATATTATAGATAATTTGCCCACATGGCCTTTTTGCTTCTTGCTGTATACTTTTCTGTTTTTACCCAATGAATTTTTTTAACAAAAAACATTCACTTGTCACTCCCAAAGTTTACTCTGTACAGAAGAGGTGCTACCTACACTTCACTAGTACAATTATGCTTCATTCCTAAGAGTAGCAAAATAAATGACACTACTTTATGAAAATAGCTTTTGTTATAAAACAGATTTTTAAACCAGGGTTTTTCCACACATGAACTGGAAACTTCCATAGCTCTGTAAGTGAACAGGAAAAACGTTCTTGACAGTCATGTGATGAAGGCAGGTTTAGTTTTGAGTTGGTCTTGAGCTTGAATGAGGGAAGAAAATTCAGTATGATTCTGGACCAGAATATACATGGAGAAACTTTAGTTAGGCCATGCTCTAAAGGGCTTGGGGAGAAAGAATTTGTTTCATGGGTATTATAAGTTTGGGGGAGTCACAAGATTCTACAAGTAAATTTTCTCATCTCTAAAAAGCTAAGTTGCCTTACAAATACTTACCACATGTGTACCTGTGTTTGGCTGAATACTGATTCCTGTTTAAGGACAGTAAAACGTTTCAAGTAGATGATAGCCTTCTGTGACCCTTTCTTTATGTATGAATAAATCTAAGCATTTATGAATCTGCAAATTTCTGAATCATTAAGATATAAAGAGCTTTTCATTCTGTCAACAATGCCAGTTATCAAGTTTTGATAAGTGTCAAGATTCCTATAGTTATAAGCAACTGTTGTAAGAAATATCTGAGGCTGTTCATGCAAGTCACCAAGCAGCATGACCACAGACTGTTGGAAAAATATTATACTTTTTCTTCATGTAATTGCTTATTAATTATACCACCTACCGAGCATGGCATCTGTCTCAGCACACATAGCATAATAAAATGCTCTAATATTCTTAATTTCTTTTTCTGTAAATCTTCCAGTGCAGTTTTTTGTATAAGAAGAGTAATAATCTACAGGGTGCATTTCTGACAAAGGTGACCACTTTGGGATTTTGATAGCATCACGAGACACCTAAAAATGGGAGAAAAAACTTAGTTATGCTAGCAAAATAGTGCTATTTCTTTCCTCCAATAAGTATGTATGGTGAAATCAACAATGTTTAATTACTTAGAATAGTAGAAAAGAACAGCTGTAAATATGTAAATAAAATAGTAAATCAATACATAAATTAGGAACAAATTGTTAATACTATCATAACAACAGAAAGTATATATCAATATCTGTATATATATCATGAGGTAGTGGTAAAATTTTTAAAAATTATACAGGCCACCAAAAAATATGAGCTATATTAGACAGTACATGCTAGTCCAGAAAAGTATCCAAGCACTTTAATATACAATTGTGTGACCAAAACTTCAGAATCAACAACCTAAGAACATGGACTCCTTTTCTCTAATAATTCACTAGTAAGAATGACAATATCTAGTGAGATACGCAAGTGCTTGTCAAAAACAAATATGACTTTTAAACACATATAAATGCTTACTTACAGTGCTGGTAAAAAGCAATTAAACTAGATCTTTAATTCACATTTATATTTTAGTTACACAACTTTCAAAAAGTTCATTTACTTAGTATTTGGTTGAAAGTCATTTAACTGATTTCATTTGGCTAGTAATAACTCCAGACAAATTTTTGAAAATGAAACCACTTAGAACTTTTAAAGAAGATACAAAGTATCTAAAACACTGACATTATTTTATTTAAAATAAGATGGACTAAATAGTGTTTCTGAGTAGTTTTTTTAGACTAACTTTTATTTCTTATTTCTGTAAGTTTTTGAAGAACAGGTGTGGCTGCATGAATAAGTTCTTTAGGGTGATTTCTGAGATTTTGGGGCACTCATCACCCAAGCATTATACACTGTACCCAATTTGTAGTCTTTTATCCCTCACCCCTATCCACTTTCCCCCAACCAGTCCCCAAAGTCCACTGTATTATTCTTACGCCTCTGAGTCCTCATAGCTTAGCTCCCACTTAGGAGTGAGAACATACAATGTTTGGTTTTCCATTCCTGAGTCACTTCACTTAGAATAATGGTCTCCAATTTTACCCAGGTTGCTGCAATTACTCATTCCTTTCTTATGGCTGAGTAGTTATTTCATGGTCTATACACCACAATTTCTTTATCCACTGGTTGAGTGATGGGCATTTGGGCTGGTTCTATATTTTTGCAATTGTGAATTGTGCTGCTATAAATGTGTGTGCAAGTATCTTTTTCGTATAATGACTTCTTTTCATCTGAGTAGATACTATGTAGTGGGATTGCTGGATCAGATGGTAGTTCTACTTTTAGCTAAGGAATCTCCACACTGTTTTCCATAGTGGTTGTACCAGTTTACATTCCCACCAGCAGTATAAAATTGTTCCCTTTTCACCATGTCCCCACCAACATCTATTTATTTTTATTTTTTTGATTATAGCCATTGTTGCAGGAGTAAGGTGGTATCACATTGTGGTTCCAATTTGCATTTCCCTGATCGTTAGTGATGTTGAGCACTTTCTTATATATTTGTTGGCCATTTGTATATCTTCTTTTGAGAATTGCCTATTCATGTCCTCTTTTTTCTCTGAGATGGAGTTTCGCTCTTGTCGCCCAGGCTGGGGTGCAATGGTGCAATCTCGGCTCACTGCAACCTCCGCCTCCCAGGTTCAAGTGATTCTCCTGCCTCAGCCTCCCAAGTAGCTGGGATTACAGGTGCACACCACTACACCCACTAATTTTCGGTTTTTAGTAGAGATGGGGTTTCACTATGTTGGTCTGGTTGGTCTCGAGCTCCTGACGTTAGGTGATCCACCCGCCTCAGCCTTCCAAAGCGCTGGGATTACAGGCGTGATTCACGGCACCCAGCTCTATTCATGACCTTAGCCCACTTATTAATGGGATTGGTTTTTTTTTTTCTTGCTACTCTGAGTTCCTTGTAGGTTCTGGATATTAGTCTTTTGTTAGATATATAGATTGTGAAGATTTTTTCACACTCTGTGGGTTGTTTACTATGCTGATTATTTCTTTTGCTCTGAAGGTTTTTAGTTGAATTAACTGATTAGTTTTTAAAGCAACTTAAAATTGATTTAAGATTACACATTTCAAAATACAGGTAGACCACGCATCATGTGGTTTGATATGCATGAATTTCAGTTATCACAGTTTTGTTAAATAACAGCAGTCCCCTAACAAAATTACTCTGGTAGACTTCAGTTACCAGGGTATGTTAACTGTGACTAACCGCAAAAAGTACAAACTTTCACACTGATATGCTGCTAGCTCTTTAGTATAAATCACTGAGTATACAACAGATACGTATGCCATTCAGTGACTAATCATGTTGTTTCTTTTAAAATGTGTCAGTGATTAGTTATCTGGTACATGCACAGACAACAAAACATGTACTTGTATCCTAGTGATAAATTAATGTGACACTTTATAGAAAGGGATAATGAAGAGAAGTCAACAAAGATGAACATACAGTAAAAAAAGGAAAAGTGACAAGGCTGGAATTTAAATTCAAATCTAATGTAAATGAAGTTATAGAAGAAACAGCTGAGCTGGGAATGTTGACACTGCTGTCATTCAAGAGACATTAGAAATATAGCCAGAGGAACTGAGTGAAGGCACATTTACTAGCATAAATGAGGAAGGTTGTTGTGAAGAAAAAGATAAAGATGTACCACAGAAAGCAATATTGGCAAAATTTTTCACATTAAAGGAACTTGGAGATATATCATTACATTGAAAGTGCAAAAGCTAAAATGTTGGAAGGTAATCCAAATTTAGAAAGAAATAATGACAATTTGCCAAGTCTTAGAGAAGATGCTTTCTCTGTATCATAAGTTTTATGATGAGAAGGCAAGCACTCTTCAATCTACTGGTAAGTTTTTTTAACCAAAAAAATTCCCGCTTTAATTCTCAGTGTTTCTAGCATTTTCATTATTATGTACTACATAAATATTAGTTTATTTTTTCTTTTCCATTTTTAACCAAAAGTAACACAATTTAAAATATTTTGATAAATGTTTTTAAAGGTGCCAGAAAATGGTCATTTTTCCCATTTATTAAGGTTGTTTTATATGGTTTCAGCTTGCATGGTCATTTTTACAATCTGGAACAGTGCAAAGTGAGGACGGCCTACATTTCTAAGAGAATGCCTTTTAGTTTCTCTTTTTATAGACATATCCTTGGCAAATGTATTCAATCCAGAAGTACGCTTCTGACTTTTAACACTTATTTTATTTCTGTAAAACTGTCCCTTTAGTTTTTATCTAACTAGTTATTGGTCAAGTTTGAATACATAATTTTCAATTTTTTCTTTAAAAGTGATAATAAAAGAAACAATGGGTGAATACCCATAAGCCACATATTTAAATCTAATTTTGAGCACACACAATGTAGTTACTTACTTTTCCAAGCCAATAAAGAGATGTGTGAAATGTTGAAGATCCAAAATTTTCTCCAGAAGATGGTGAAGGGTAAGGGTGTGGTAAATTTAATCCCAAGTAAAGAACAAATGGTTCAGTGTAATTAATTGCTTCCTTTCTTAACCAATTTATTGCTTTGTCTGTATTCTGCCAATCCCTTTCCATCACTCTGACTTTAGTCCTATTATGGATAAGATTAACCATGGGTCTGCCTTCTTGTCTGAGTAAGAAAGCAACATCTCTTGTCCATGCTTCCACACGATTACTGAGGGAGCAAAAACACACGTATATTGTCAGGTATATTAAAAAGTTTTAAAAACGTACTAAGCATACATTAAGAAAACAACATGGAAAACAATTTTTAGATTCAGTCTTGTAAATGTTCAGAATAACTATATTAGATCTAAAAAAGAAAGTTATTGAGCATTACAGATTAAAAAAATAGAAAAAAAGCCAAGAATCGAATATTCACTTATGTGTTCTTTAAAACTACGAAAGATTAGGTAGAATGGTTAACTTTTCTTACAGCAAGATATTTAAACAAAATGTTTCAGATTTCTAGTATTTCTTCTTTACTAAATTTTCTAACATTTTTATTTTTTCGCTTAGAAGATATTATTCCTAACCAAAGCTACTATAATTTCCTTTTATCACTGAATATTTATAGTTTTAAAAATATACCTACCATGTATACTTCATGTGTTGCTGAAGTTTCAGGTTTAAAATTGTTTCCAGCTCTATCTTTTCTTATTAAAAGAACAATTTTAACTATAATCTGAGCTATCTAAGCTAAAAGTGATATAAATTTCATATCCATTATAAACCAGAGATATTTTCTTTATTACTGATTTACAAGTTAAATGATTCAATTAATTCACTTTCTCAAACAAAAAATTAATTCACTTTCTCTCAATCTTTATTTTATCTGACTGCTTGATTTTTCTCAATCAAGCTCTAAGCATATGTAGCTGACATAATTGGTTGGATAGCAGTCCTAGGCATTTCTAGAAAGTTTGCTTTTTAAGTTTCTGTTGAGATAAGTATCTCTGAAGTGCTCTATCAATAGAGAAAAGTGTTTTAAAAATCCAGATACCAACTCATAAACAAAAAATATTTTATACTAAAACATAATACTGCTCTTAAGAGAAATTGCAATCCATATAAAATGACTAACAACCCATACATAAGTTAAAATAGAAAAATTTTATACCCTGCCTTTTGAATGCAGGTAAATAAATTTAAATAGCTACAATAAAAATTCATTTTTCTTTTAGATATTCAATATATTTTGATAAAAACAATAAAAACCATAATTTCAGCAGAATTATATCTATCTAACAGATCCTAATTAATTCTAACAGATGGGAAACCCTAAAATAGGAAGTTTTGTATTCATCACACTATCAAAACAATCTGACATTGGTATCTCATCTTTTGCTTAAATCACAGCTAAACTCTTACTATATGTGACGATTACTATTGTTGCAGAGGTGGAATTTTAGGGGTTTATAACACCAGCAGTATGTGTGGTAGAACTCAGATTCTGAGAGAAGGAATAGGACACTGAGATTTATATAGTGTGTTTAGGAACCAAAGTACTTTCTTTTCAGTCAAAGAGTATTACATGAGAAAATATGGCTGAGAACCTATTACAACAAGCAAGCTTTTAATACAACCTAACTAGTTGCCACTCTTTGGATTAACTCAGGTTAGACTATTGTCCTGACTACGCTAACTGACCTAACCACTGGACTTCACGATGTAGTCTAGACCATGAGCGAGCCTAGGCTATGTCAAGGAAAGATTTTCAAGCCTTGAAAGACGGCTATATTGAACCCAGTTTGCTGCATCTTTTGCTACAACAGTGATTAAGTGTGACATCATTTAACCTTTCTGGTAATAAATTTATGCCCTCTCCCTATTTTTTTTTTAACTGTGTTCCTGAGATTCTTTTAACCAAGGTCCCCTTAAGCGTAAAATGGCTCAAATCAAATTACTTTTGGCCTACTCTAATCATTATGGCCAGATTTCAAACTTGGCTTTATAACTAAACAATATGCGATTGTCCTCTAACTAAATAATATGTGATTTCTCTATTATCTTAGTGGTATCCTCCCTTGTCTTTTCCTAAGTATGGCTTTAGCGTGATTCCCATAACTGCTGGTACTTAAGTAGAGTTATAACAAGCGATTTCAAACACTGCTAAGGCAGCAGAGACAAGATTATGGTTAAAGGTAAAAGGTATTTTTACCTTTCTCAAATTTTTTCACTTCTTTGATTAGTTGACCCATGTTCACTGTGCCTAAAGTGTAAAATAACAATTTATTTCTTTACAACTTAGTGAGGAAGAACATGAGTATAAAGTGATGTATTCAGTAGATGAATATACTACAGTACTTTAAAATCATTTAGCACTTTTTAATGTATTCAAAAATATTATTAATTATAATTAATGACTCTCCATTCTACTTTCACTACTCCCTGGGCCAGCCCAACCTTCCTGGACCATCATGAAGCACAATACGAGCAGTAGATGCAGCCTAAGCAGTAGGCTGCTACAGGAGCGGCAATTCTTAGTCCAGAAAGTCTCTCTTTCCGGTCCAAGGTAGCTTCCAGTCCGTGAGTCCGACGAGTAAAATATGGAATGAGAATATGAATATGCAACTTCATAATCTATTACAATTACAATAATAAGATAACTCTTTTGACATTATAATTCTCTCTACTAACCAGTGTATCCAGACCCTTCTTATAAGAGTGATGGTCTCTTAATCAGGCTAAACCATTGCACCTGGAAATCATATCGTTCGATCATATTCTCAGAGCTACTTCTTTGTCTCATTGTTCTAAGTGTTCTTCCCTGCCACCAGTAATTGCCATAACTTCTTCCAAATATAAGCTTTCTAATTACTTAACCACTGGGAGTATTTTGAACCAATTTTTTACCATTCCATTTCTATGTATTTTGTCCAGAATACCAAGACTATGGTTTCAGTCAGGACAACTGAAAGGGGCTTGAATCAATGAGAAGGATCAAAACTACCTGTGGCTCAGATATTTTATGATTCAGTGGCTGTTCTCAATATAAATTTACCCTGCTGCTTCCAATAGGCACAGCTATACAATGCATAGTTTCCTCTATGCCAGCATCTCTCAAAGTATAGTACAGGGATCCCTGAGGATTCCCAAGACACTCTCAGCGAGCCCATGAGGTCAAAACTATTGTCATAATAACAGCAAGATGATATTTACCTTTTTCATTCTCATTCTCTCATTACATACAGTATGCAGTGAAAGAGACCACTCTGATCTATCCTGAGGTAGGAGCCCAGATGTGAAGCATATCTATCTCAAGGAAGATTGTCTTCTATAAACTTAGAGAGGCTTCAATGTTTCCTTATATCATGCCCCTCTTGAGTGGCCCAATGTCTACTTCAACTCTTTATAGAAATGTAAGAGGGCTTTTCTTCTCAAAGGGATACAAATAATAATCATGCATTGCTGATAAAGACAGTCACAATTTGTTACACCTTGTCCTACTTCCACCAGAGGTCCAGTTCTTTATATCCTTGCTACTCCAAGTGTGGTCCATGGACCAGCAACATCAGCAGCTCCTGGGAGCTCCCATAATTCCCACATGTTGTGGGAGGGACCTGGTGGGACTCATCATAATTGAATCATGGGGGCAGTTTCCCCCATACTGTTCTCATGGCAGTGAATATGTCTCCCAAGATCCGATGGTTTTATAAAGGGTTTCTGCTTTCACTTGATTTTTCATTCTCTCTTGCCTGCTGCCATGTAAGACATGCCTTTCACCTTCCACCATGACTGCGAGGCCTCCCAAGCCACATGGAACTGTGAGTCCATTAAACCTCTTTTTCTTTATAAATTACCCAGTCTTGGGTATGTCTTTATCGGCAGCATGAGAACAGACTAATAAACCATCCTAGACTCACTGAATCACAAAGGGCATCTAAGAAGATGCCCAAGTCATTTGTATGTATATTAAGGCTTGAGATGCACAGCTTAAGAATTTTTTTCTGCAAAAATCCTCAAATTTTAATCAAAATTCAATCAAAATGGAAGATAATCAAAATGGAGCTTCCACAGTAGCCTATAAATAGGAGAATTATTCTACCTTGGTTCAATTCCAGAAAACAGTTGATAGCCAAATATACTATCCAACAATCAGCAGTTTAATTATTTTTAACAACAAAAAACTCCTCACTAATACAAATGAAAAACAAAACTACTTAACACATTACCAACTAATTATTACATAAATTTGTATATTTGGCATTACTGTGTGGGTTTTCTGTGGCAGTGTGCTAAATTCTACTGCTAAAATATTGGATACAATCAGTTTACAAGTAGTACAGGATTAGTTTACATAGTAACAATTATATCTGAAAAAATATACCTTAAAATTGACGATGAGAATATGACAGTTTTCTTTCCACATGAAGTAGGGGCCTAAACATAAACCTTCAGCTTCCTAAGAGTCTACTGAAGATGATTAACTATCTCAGACTTAGACTTCTGTGATCTCTCTCTTTTTCTCATTGTTGATGAGATTGTAGCAGCTAATTTGTTTCTGGTAAATCTCACAATAAAAAAATTAGAAAAACGATGATTCTGAAAAATTCCCTTGCAAATTTCTGTATTGACCTAATAAATTCTGTAGGAGAAAAAGGAATCTATATTCATTCCCATTAAATGCTCTTTTCTGGACTTGGTGTGGGGGCTCACACCTGTAATCCCAGGGCTTTGGGTGGCCGAGGTAGGAGGACTGTTTGAGCCCAGGAGTTTGAGACCAGCCAGGGCAACATAGTGACACCTTGTCTCTACCAAAAAAGAAAAAAAAGAATTTTAGCTGGGCATGTTGGTATGTGCCTGTGGTCCTAGCTACTTGGGAGGCTGACCGGGGAGGATCACTTACGGTCAGGAGTTTGAGGCTGCAGTGAGCTATGATCCTGCCACTTTACTCCAGCCTAGGTGACAAAGTGAGATCTCATCTCTTAAAAAACAAAACAAAACAAAACAAAACTCTTCTCTCAAATTTGAGAGAAACACACATACAATTTTTAAAAGGATTTACAAGGCTGTCATCCATCTTTCTTTACATATGATCACTCACAAAAGCAATCTGTTTTAGTTGAACGAATAACACCTACCCTGGCAAATTCAGGTTGGGACATCATTTTTAAACACACATTATTTAAATGCTCAAAATATGCATGCTTTCACATTTATTAGTTTTATTAA